TTCATGGTATCAGAGTATAGTATACTCTAACGAGTTTTTTTCTTCCCTCCCCAATTCTTCTGCTTCTCCTATAATGTCAACTTCTTCCTCCACAACCTCCTCTCCTTCGGCCTCTATTCAGCCCATCACACCTCCTCGTCTATCTCTCCCCTCCAACCCTCAACTCACAGTGAAACTCACTCCAACCAATTATTTGTTTTGGAAGGCCCAATTACAGCCTCTACTACGTTGCTATCGCTTAATCGGCCACATTGACGGCACCTCTCCGGCTCCACCGCTCACCATTGATGCTCAGTCAAATCCAGACTATACTGAATGGTATGAAAGAGATCAATTGGTTCTTACCTGGATTACCCTCTCTCTGTCTGAGGCAGTCATGCCCGCCATCATTAATAAGTTGACTGCTCGTGCTGCCTGGGATTCTTTGGCTCGGATTTATGCTTCCGGGTCGCCTGTCGTCGTTGGGCAACTCCGGCGAACTCTGAATCACATCTCTCGTGGCGAGGATTCAGCCCATGACTACCTCCAACGCGCCAAAGCCATCTTCGACCAACTTGCCGCGCTCGGAGCCCCGATTACAGACGCGGAACTTGTCACTGCGATTCTCGACGGTCTCGATGAGGATTTTCGGCCATTTACCCGCAATTTGGAGGCGAAGTTGGAACCAATTTCGTTTGAAGACCTCAGCAGCCTCCTCATCAGTGAAGAACTTCAGTTGCGCCGTTTTCGGTCACTCTCCTCTGCTGGTGGTGCTGCCCCTCCGCTCCGTCGGCCTTCTTCTCTGGCCACTCTCGTGGTCGCGGCAACCGCTTTACAAGAGGCAGAGGCGGTGGACGTTCAACCTGTCAGTCTGCCCGCGTCAACACTCCACGGGCTCACCATCAACTATCGGCCCAACCTCATCTAGCAGCCCAGCCGTTGGCCCATGTTTATTCTACCCCATTTAATAAATCTATGTCTGCAGGAGTTCTTGGTTCTTGGCCCTCCGGCCCATCTGCAGTGGTCTGCCATAATTGTGGAGGAAGGGGTCACATTAGGCCCAATTGTCCAAGCCCAAAATATCATATTCCCGCCAATTATTCTAGCCCATCTTCGTACCTAGCCCAATCGCCTCAGCCTTTTCACTCCTCTCAAAATTGGCTTCTCGACTCTGGAGCCAATCATCATCTCACCTCCGACCTCGATAATCTGGCTCATCATTCTGAGTATAATGGAACCGATCAAGTCACATTTGGTAATGGTAACTCTCTTCCCATCTCTCATTCAGGATGTTCTACCGGTCATCTGTCTAATTATTCTGTGTCTCTTGATAATATACTTCGAGTAAAAAATGCCCCTCATAATCTTCTTTCCATTAGTTCTCTTACCCGTTCTAACCCCATCTCCATTGAATTCTTTGACTCTTATTTTGTTATTAAGGACCGTCACACGAAGCATGAACTTTATCGAGGCTCTACGGTTGATGGCCTTTATTCTCTTCCGCTTCGCATCAACCGGCATACTCCTCCTCGTGTTTTTGCTACTTCACTCAATCTCTGGCATCAGCATCTCGGTCATGCCAATTTGCGTGCTGTTCGCCAGCTTTTGTCGTCTCAACATATAAAATACTCCTCCGACTCTTCTTCTTTATGTCATGGTTGTTCCCTTAGTAAGATTCATAAACTTCCATTTCCAACTTCCTCTTATTGTGCATCTGCTCCTTTAGAACTTATATGTAGTGATCTTTGGGGACCCGCTCCTCTCCTATCTTATGATCATCAATCTTATTATGTTTTGTTTTATGATCACTACAGTAAGTTCACCTGGATTTATTTCCTTCACTCTAAGTCTCAGGTTCTCAGTGTGTTCACTCAATTTCGTCAGCTTGTTGAAAAATATTTTGGCCTTCCCATTAAAATTTTTCAATCTGACTGGGGTGGAGAATATCAAGCCCTCACTTCTTATCTTGCGACTCATGGTATTACTCATAGATCCTCATGCCCCCATACCCCTGAGCAGAATGGGTGTGCTGAACGCAAACATCGTCACATAGTTAACAACGGTCTTGCCATGTTGCATCATGCGCAAGTTCCCCTCAAATACTGGCCTCTTGCATTTGACACAGCCTGTTATCTTATTAATCGCACTCCCACACCTCTTCTAAACAATCTCTCTCCTTTCACTGTCTTGTTTAAACAAACACCTGATATTCTTAATCTTCGTGCTTTTGGTTGTCTTTGCTATCCATGGCTTCGTCCGTATACATCTAATAAACTTCAACCCCGTTCTATTCCCTGTGTTTTCTTGGGTTATAGCAAGTTACACAAAGGTTATCGATGTCTTGATCGGGCAACAGGTCGTATTTATATCAGTCGACATGTCCTCTTTGATGAGTCCATTTTTCCTTTTACAACCACTCCTCACTCTTCCTCTCATACTCCTTCCCTCCAACAATTTTTAAACACATCCCCAATTAATTTACCCAGCCCACCTCTTTCCCATCCTTCACAGACCAAGCAATTAATTCTACATCACCCTACACCACCATTACTTGGCCCAACTCCCACCATTATCTCGTCTCCCACCTCTTCCTCACTAGAATCCAACCCTCCAACCCAATCTGGCCCACCTCCCACTTCCCACCCCAACCCACTGTCCCCTACTCACAAAATAACAACTCCATCACCATCATCAAAGCCATCGGCTCCCATCTCTGTCGCTCCTCCTCTGCTAAAAACTTACTTCCGTCGTCCTACTATTCCGTCCCGACCTCCGTTTAACACATCACCCCGGATCCTCCCTAATCCTTCCCCACTTCCTCCTCCACAACGCATGACTACTCGCTCACAGACCGGCAACTTAAAGCCACGACAATTCATCGCATCTCTTACCCCAACTCTTCCAACCACGGCTGCACAGGCAATGAAAATTGCGCACTGGAGAGCTGCCATATCCTCCGAGTTTGATGCATTAATTCGCAATCACACTTGGGATCTCGTTCCTCCACCACAGAATTGCAATTTGATATCTAACAAATGGGTGTTTGCTATCAAGACTAATCCAGATGGCACAATCGAACGACACAAGGCTCGCCTTGTCGCCCGTGGATTTGAGCAGATTCCGGGACGGGATTTTAACCAAACCTTCAGTCCGTTCCTCAAGCCGGCAACTTTAAGGCTTATTCTGGGCATTGCTGTATCGCACTCTTGGCCGCTGCACCAGATAGATATCTCCAACGCCTTCTTTCACGGCACATTACAGGAAGAGGTATATATGCGTCAACCACAGGGATTCATCGATCCAGACCGTCCCGACCATGTCTGCCGCCTGAACAAGTCTCTATATGGTCTTCGACAGGCACCTAGAGCGTGGTTTCATTGTTTGTCACAAGCTCTTAGGGAATTTGGATTCATTGCGTCGAAGACAGATCCATCTCTCTTCATTTACAAGGCTGGCCAAGTTACTTTGTATATGTTGGTCTACGTCGACGATATAGTGATCACCGGCACTCATTCCTCATCAATTCAGCAACTTATGACTTTCCTCCGATCCCGGTTTGCTCTCAGAGATCTTGGGCAACTTTCATATTTTCTGGGGCTAGAGGTGCATCAGTCTAGCACTGGTTTAATTCTACATCAAAGAAAGTACATTCTTGAATTATTGCAACGGTCAGGAATGTCTGAAGCAAAGGCGATTTCTACTCCATGTACTATAAATCAGCTTATTCAAAGTGCCTCTGATACTTCTCCAGCATTCCCTGATCCTGGCTTATACCGCAGCATTGTTGGTGGTCTGCAGTACTTGAGTTTCACAAGGTCGGATATTTCATTTGCAGTCAATCATGTTTCCCAGTTTCAACATTCTCCAACTGATGCACACTGGTCTGCAGTAAAACGCATTATGCGTTACCTTCGTGGTACACTAGCCACCGGACTCATTTTCCAGCGTTCATCTAAACCACAACTCCATGGCTATTCAGATGCCTCATTTGCTTCGTGTCCCAAAGATCGAAAATCTATTACAGGCTATGCTGTGTTCTATGGACAGAATCTGGTTTCCTGGTCTACTCGAAAGCAGAAGTCGGTGGCGCGATCTTCGACTGAATGTGAGTATCGCGCCTTAGCTACCTTGGCATCAAAAGTTATCTGGCTTCAAGCGCTTCTTTCCGAACTTGGTCAGCCGCTTACTTCATCCCCAGTGCTTTGGTGTGATAACTTAGGGGCAACCTACCTGGCGCACAATCCTGTTTTTCATAGTCGGTCCAAACACCTGGAAATTGAATTTCATTTTGTACGCGATCGGGTCAACAAGAATCAACTACATGTTCGTTACCTACCAGCTACAGATCAGCTGGCGGATGTGCTCACCAAGCCTCTCACTCGACTACCATTTCGACGATTTTGTTCCAAGTTTCACCTCACTGAGGTTTCACTTGCGGGGGCGTAATGAAACAGAAACAGACAAGCACTATTTGGAGTTCAGTCCTACATTCAATTCTCAAATCTTCTCAAGATCATGAACCTGTCATCACATTTATTTAGCATATCTTTGCAAATCCTTTCTCATATCTGTATAGCTCCTTTCAGCCATCTATAAATGGCAGAGCCTTGTAATGATATTAAGCAAGAGAAGAAATACACTTTCATTGCATCTTCAATTATTATAGGTGATAGACGCCAAATCTGGCTTTTACACTTTGTAGATTTTCCTGTAACAGCAGAAGCAAGAAAGAATTAATAAGACTAAACAAGTAGAGAAAATAGTAAAGGAGAGGGTCGAGATGACAGCCAGTATCCTAGCGCAAGAAGTGAGGATGAAAGAAGGCAAAACCGAATCTGAAACGGTGTACAGGATTAAGCCTAGCTTGGTTGCTGATCTCTATGAGAGTTTGATCATGCCACTCGCAAAGGAAGTCCAAGTTGAGTACTCGCTGAGAAGGTTGGATTAAACCTCCACGGAAAATATTTCGAGTCCAAAGGATGTGCTGAACAAACACAAGCTGCTGCTGGAAAGAGCAGATAATATTTGGAAGTAGCAGTGGTAAACCTTCCATTTAATATTTGAAAGTAGAACTAATGATGATTGACGTTCCAATCTCAAACATATTGAGATATCCAAAATCGAAGACAAAAACTGAAAACAGTCATAAAGGATTCTGTTCAAAACTCTTAACAGATTGTGGGCTCTTTCTTGTGGAACACTTCAGAATCAGAAACAAAGTCAGATTAACTCAGCCTCCTCAGCAAGTACTCGACCTGCACCTCTTTGGTCAGAGGTATAAGCCATCTCGCATAAATCTCACGAACAAGGCTTGGATCGATCTTGTAAACAGCTTCTTCTGTCATATTCTTGGCTTTCATTAGGACCCTTTCCTTCACATTTTCTTCAACTTCAGGATAGGAAAGTAGATTCATTAAAGCTTCCTTGTCCTGCAATATTACACAAGATGATACAATTGTCCAAGATTAGCAATTACGGAGTGAAAAATCTTATCTCATGAACATATATACCACTGCAATTTGTTGTTATAAAGACTTGCCTGTGCTTTAATGGCAGCAGTATAATCCTTAGTATTTGCTGTAAATTTCGATTCGGCAAGGAACCTTCCGGTGTGAACCCGTTTAGAGATAGCCTGCAAGGACAACTCAAAGTCATACGAATCCATAAAGATAGTCACACATTGGCTCAATACCATCCTAGGATTCTAGAGAAAATAATACAAAAGCTTAGGTTGATAGCAAAAACGCAATGGGACATTCAAACAAAAAGGCTAGTCATAGAAATGGAGATTGGACATTTGAACAGAAGTCTTTCAATGTTTCCACAAAGAAGGAACAGGTTGATGACAAGCATACCAGCAGACAATTGGCGTCACGAACTGCGGAGCTAGCGTAGAATCCATCACTTCCTTCCTTAACCAAGTTTGGCAGTAGGTTTTGAAAGTAAGCATCCCACATTTTGTGGTTAACATCAATTATTACCTGTTCAAAGAAGTTAAAAGAGTAAATAAATCACATTTGAGACATCAAAATTTCCTAATATTATAGTTCTAAAGGATAGAAGGAATTGCACATTCCATACGTATTGATTTGGTGGCAGAAACATATCAGGCAACTCCTTGGGAAAAAAGGGAAGCTCGCTTGCACTTTCAAATCTACCCAGCTATTACAGAAAAGCACCATCAGGATCAGTCAAACCTAAACATGACAAGGACACATGAATGTATGAAAACCATGTAAAACTTAAGCAAAAGCACTGTACCTTGGCATGAAACATTTCGGATTCTTTCACAACATGTTCCAGTAGGGAACCCTCAAGGCCATCCTCAGCGAAAGCATCCGCTTCATAGATAAATGCATTGTAGCAGTACTGAGCTCTCTCCAGTAGGCAGTAAATTGTGCTGTCCTCTTGGCAAATCAGAGAGCGGCTAATCGATTCGAGGTTCAGAAAGTCCGACGAAGTTCTAAAGGTTTCCAGGTTGATAGTGTTGCCATATTCTTTGTCCGTACTACATACGCACAAGCTTCTCATTACAAATACGGTGTAGATTCTCAAAAGTCAAATTGGCAGAATAGCAATTGCGAGGGATTCTAACTTATAGGCATACAGTACCACAAGGATTAACAACCAAAATAAAGGGCAGAAAACGAATCCTTCATGGACGACCACGAACAATATTCAAGGCAAAAAGCAAAATCAGAAGCTCGCTATAGACGAAGGACTAAATCAAACACAAAGAAAAGCGAGATTGGAGATTCTGGAGGAACACCAAGGAAATAATTAAAAAAAAACTAGAGGAAGCAAAATCGAGATACCGCCATAGAATGAGTACGAACTACGAACGAGATAAAGAACCAGCAAAATCATATTAACATACCCAGCAGCGGAGGACATAAAGCGACCTTTGCCGGAGCTTGCTGAGCAAATAAGCGCCGTGGAAATACGTCGCGGTCCTAGAGAGACGCGGCCGGGAAGAGTCCTGGAGAAGACGGTAGCAGTCGAAGGAGGAGTGGATGGCCAGGAACGATATGCAACGCAATAAACAGAAAAATCAGAAACCGGCTATAAAAGAAGGACTGGAGCAAACACAAAGAAGAGCAAGATCGGAGATCCTGAAGGAGCACAAACGAAACAAAAAACAAGAAGCAACAAAATCGAGAAACCTACCCAGCAGCAGAGGAGGTAATGCCTCGCGGTCCAAAGGAGACGCGGCCGCCAAGTGCTCTGGAGAAGACGGTACTAGTCGGGAGAGCAAAGGATGACCAGGAACGAAATGCCAGGCAAAAAGCAGAAAAAATTAGAAGCCGGCTGTAGACGAAGGACTAAAGCAAACACAAAGAAGAGCAAGATCGGAGATCCTGAAGGAGCACAAAAGAAACAAAAAAACAAGAACCAGCAAAATCGAGATACCTACCCAGAAGCAGAGGACGTGATGCGAGATCCTGGGATGACGCAGCGGCGAAGTTTACTAGAGTGTAAGAAAGTGGTTAAGCACCATACACGGGCCAGAGCCTGTGCAAACTTCAAGTCTATGAGTTGGCTTTCGTTTGAGGGTGCGTGTAAGGAAGTGGTTAAACACCATACACAGACTTGTATAAGATCCCGCATAACCCTTCTACTAATAATTCGAGTTATTGAGACCAACTGATTTATGACATGGATAACACGAACACTATAGTAGTCTGATCCGCTCATCAGAAGCTTTGATTCCATTGCAGCAGAAAATGGAAGAACGAAGAGGAAAAGAAGGCAAAGGGTAGGAAATCAGAGAAATGGACGATAGTTTGGGTGCTTTTGCTTGTACTGAACGCTGGAGGGAGGTGGTTAACCGGCGAACAAAAACAGAGGGGTGATGAGAGCGCAGAAAACTCGCTGTCCGGGTTTATAGGAGGAGAGTTTCTCTCTCCCAGTCCGTCCTATTTCACCCTTCTCTACGCTATTCGTTTTCCGGGGTAGCTAAACAATTGTAAATTATTTGTTTCTGTGAAAATTAAAAAGTTACACAAAAATAATAAAAAAGCAATACACATGGGACAGTGCCCAAACATTGAAAGGAAAGGTGGCCAGCCATCTGACCTCCTATTAATTTCTTCCGTCTCTGCCAATCTGCAATATTCGAACCATTTATCATCATTATTATTCTTTCACACACTGTCCCACTTCACCAACATGCCCTCGGCCCCCATGGAGGAGAACAGGTTCCTACAACAACAAACAAACTTCCCTTCTGTTTCCTACTAGCTTAGACAGACTCCCATTTTGCAACCGTGCTTAGTTACATACCAATAGAATAGAAGCCCGCACTTCCTGGCCGGATAATCAATCTCCATGATATGCGATTTGAGAAAACACGGATGCTAGATATTAGAGGGAGGATCTGCTAAATGATAAGCAAAGTTTAGTGCACCCGTTATTGTACAAGGCAACATCCGTTAAATATTAAAGAGAGTAGCACCACATCCGATTCACTCCAACAGGTTCTTAAATAGTGCAAATAAAGTGATTTGACATATTCGTGAGAAAGTTAAGATAAAATCAACATTCCCATCTTATGGCAAATATTGAATTATCAAGTAGACGTTTGGTATCTGTTATTTATGAGAAAATGAGTTTGCAAGTAAATCCCTCAATTCCATCTTGCACATGAGAAATTGGAAATAACGATTCATGAATATCATTTGCACAATGTTGGATTAACTGCAAATGTGATTCGTGAATCGTTATTTTCACTCGTGACTGTAAGCCCTTGCAAATAACAAAAGCATTCCTAGACTTGTTGGCAACACAGATACCGTGTTGAATTACAAAAGGGGTAAAAGTCATCCCCGACCCAAAAATCGTCAACATGGGTTCAACTTGCTTTGATCGGGTTGAATTAGATTGAAAAAACAGGTAAAATGTGTTTTCGACCCAACTCAATGATTACAAAAGTGGATAAAATTCATTCACGCCCTCAAAAGTGTCTAAGGTAAAATCTGTCCTCGACCCAAAATTCGTCAACATTGGATTCAACTCGATAAAGCGGGGTGATTTTTCAACAAAATTCACATCCTACCCAATTCGTTAAAAAATATTAATTTAATTAATAAAAAATTCAACAATAAAACAAACCTAATAATTATCAAATTTGGCTCAATTATCATAAGCTAATTAATTAGAGCCTCAATGGCATTTAAACCCCTCCCACTCTCCCTTCCAAAAAAATTTCTGTACTCTTCCCTCTCCAATCAAATCATTCCTTATTTTCTTCCAATCCATGCCATCATTTCATCTCTTCTTCTTTCCAAACAATGTTATTGCGTCAGAATCAGAAGAAGAAGAAGAAGAAGAAGAAGAAGAAGAAGAAGAAGAAGAAGAAGAAGAGCATTGCCGCCCCTTCCCTATGTTGCAATAACATCCCTTTGCCTTCCCTCTCTTTTCCTGACAAAGAAAGCCCCTGTCTGTCCATGACAAATCCTTCTTTCTCCCCTGCTCTACCATCTCTCTGTATCATCTGACCACCACGTCGAATCAGCTTTCCTTCCTAGTTCCTATGGGTAATATGAAATAAACTTCTTTTTTTACCTTTGCACGGCCTGCCTCTGCCTCACTGCCTGCCTGCCTGCCACCTTACACACTAAAAAGTAAAAAGTAAAAATACAGACTCGTTATAGTGGTTTGGTTTCACGTCCATTTCACCCATCAGGCCATCACCCTCATCCAACCTTTCTCCTCTCCTCACTCCTCACTTCACTAGGGTTTTCATTTTACAAACATTTACCAACCGGCCCTTCCTGCAGCTCGTACATCTCCAACTTGTATGTACACACAAGTGGACTGCTGGGGTTCAAAGCTAACACTTTCTAGATGCAGTAATAGACTTGGAAAAGAAACTACTGTGATATATAGCTAATAAATTATAAATATATCACCTGTCCGAGATAGCTAGGAACTTTGCTCTACCTACATACAGGCTTGTATGCCTGCCAGCTCTTCGCTTCATCTATGTAATGGGTTAAAGACACATTTGGTCACTGGGTTTACTAAAATGTGTCATGTTTAGTCACTGAAAAAAATAAATATCAAATTTGGTCACTCGAATTAATAAAACGGTCCATATTTAGTCACTCTCCGTTAACTTTGCAGTCAACCCTAACAGTTGACTGTTAAATGTCTGACGTGGCGATTAAAAAATTAATAAAAAAATTAATTAATTTATTTTAATATTTCCACATCATTAAAATAATAAAATAAATAAATAAAAGTAAATTAAATCTTTTCTCCAGCTTCACTTTCTCCTCGGGACGAGCCCCAAACAGGAATGCCGGTGACCACTCCGCCGCCACCGTAATTTCTCCGGCCGCCCACCACCGGCACTCCCACCTGCATTCTCCATGACGAAGACGGCGGCGCGCCCCACGAAGGAGAGTACGTGGAAGAACCGCCGAAGCCCGCCCCCACCATCTCCTTCCTCGCCGCCGCCGAACAACTACATCCCCTTCCGCCGCCGCCGATAACCCTAACCGAGAAATTGACGATCCCGTTCTTAACCCCTCGCGGGTCCCGCAACCGGTAGCTCAAAAAATGCAGGTAATCCTCCGGCGTAAGATCTCCCAAGAAATCGGAAACCGGTACCGCCACCGCCCCGACGACTCTGTTTCCCGATCCGACCCTGCACTGCACTTCCACCGTCACCGAACTAGTCGCCGCCATCGACATCGTGACGACGACCTTCTCGTTCCAAATTGGGTAGCTCCCGCCATCGTGACGACGACCTAGATCAATCAAATATTAAGTCCAGCGACTCACAAACGCCCCGCCGAGCTTGTCCAACATCCAATGCTTCGGCGCATTGAGCCTTTTCAGGTGCTTCTTCAGTCCTCTCGCCTGTTTACATCGAAAAGAAACGCCAGAAATTTAGGCTACTATCAGAAACAAAAGAGAGAAACGAACAGAGCAGGAGTTCATACAACAGATCAAAGATCTAAAACGAGTACTGACCATGTTGCTTCAGGAAGTTTGCCTTGCGCCGCCTTCGTCCTGCCGATCGAGAGAGAAACCGCTTCCCTCCTGTTCTCGCCGTCGAGGTATAGCAGAGAAAGTACCAAAACCCTAGCTAATCTGGGTGCTTTAAGAATGGTCACAGGAGAAAGTGAAGCTGGAGAAAGAACCCATGAAGCTTGTCACCGAGAATGGGATTGAAGAGCTCGCCAAGTTGACCATGGAGGACATTGACAGCAACAAGCTGAACAAGAAGACGCCGGAGTTTTGCCGGCGGCAGCGGCAGTGGGGGAGGTTGAAAAAGAAGACGCTGGGGCGGTTGTGGAGAGGAGAAAAGATTTAATTTACTTTTATTTATTTATTTTATTATTTTAATGATGTGGAAATATTAAAAAAAAAAGTAAATTAATTTTTTATTAATTTTTTAATCGCCACGTCAGACATTTAACAGTCAACTGTTAGGGTTGACTGCAAAGTTAACGGAGAGTGACTAAATATGGACCGTTTTATTAATTCGAGTGACCAAATTTGATATTTGTTTTTTTCAGTGACTAAACATGACACATTTTAGTAAACCCAGTGACCAAATGTGTCTTTAACCCTCTATGTAATATATGGGTTAATTGTATGGTTGGTCACTGAGATTACAAAATATGGTCACTCGAAATATTTAAATCCATTGATGGTACTTTAGTTTACGCAAACCGTTCACGTTTGGTCACTCTCTGTCCAACTCCGTTAACTTTGACTGATGTGACAGTTAACTCTCAAAGTTGACCGTTAACTTAGTGATGTGGCAACAAAAAATTATTAAAAATAAAAAAATAAATTTTAATATTTTCCACCTCATTATTACATTCATTAAAAAATAAAAAACCTAATTTCTTTTCTACAATTTCAAACCGAATTCAACCCCTACGATGGTGGGCTGTTTAGTGTTTAGTAAAATGCATCTATCTATCTTCTATAAAATATATAAGGGTGTGTTTGGATAGAATGATTTGTATTTTGTATTTGTGATATGGATTTCCAAATATCAAGTCGCGTGTTTGGATATTAATTACATTTTGTATTTGGATTTGTGTCAAATTCATGGGTTGATTTCCAAATACATGTCTAGTGTATTACTTGTCAACTTCAAATACATTTAAACAACTAGTGATTTGAAATACCTCCTAACAAAAGAGTGGACCTATTTGTAAAATATTAAAAGTTTAGGTACTATAGTGTGAGGCAAAATATATAAATATACCAAAATGTAATTTTACCATCAAAATTTTAGGACTTTTTGTAGAATTCTGAAATTTTGGGTACTAAATGGTAAGAAAAAATAAATTTGGATATCAAACTGTAATTTACCAAAATTTGTAGTAAGTGATAAAAAATCAAAATAAAAATAAAAAATCATAAAATTTAAAATACAAACAAATTATAAGTACCCAAACACCGAATTTGAATTATATGCATTTCAAATGCTAGTAATTCAAATACATCTATTTCAAATACATATATTACAAATACTTTACATTTGAAATACACCTATCCAAACAGACCATAAAGAACTTTGAGATTTTAACCTCCACGTAAGCGCTTCTGAAAATCTAACCTATCCACGTCAGCCTAAAACCACTGTGCCCAAAGTTGCCTCCGATTCTCTCTAGGGATGGCAACAAAACCCGAACCCACGGGTATCCACCTGACCGGGTTCGGGTTTAAACCCGCTACACTATTTATCGGGTTGGGTTGGGTTTGGGTTTAGGTAAACCCGACCCATGGGTACCCGCTCACACACATATAATTACTTTCCCGGTATATTTAATATTCTAAATAATATATCTTCCTTAAACAACTAATATTCTTTATGTTTGTGGAGACATGTATAATTTGTTCGTTTAGAATGAAGTTGATACTATGAAGTAGAGAGTGAAGAAACTTAGTTGACGATGAAGAAGCTTTCAATTAATCTTATTATTTATAGATGTTTATCTTTATTGAACAATTTGTATTGATCATTTGCGGTTTGCTTGTATGCTCTAGATTGGTGTTTTTTGTATGAATAATTTGTATTGTAAAATTTATGTTGAACTTTTATTTTGAAAGAATCTTGTTATTATAAATTTTTTACCACAAAAACCCACGGGTACCCATGAACCCGCGGATACCCAGCGGGTTGGGTTTGAGTTTTTCAAACCCAGCGGGTTTTACCCCGGGTTTTTTTGGCGGATAAACTCATGGGTTTGGGTTTGACAAAACCCGCCCCAATCCGACCCATTGCCATCCCTAATTCTCTCTCCATCATCTGTCTGTTTAAAAATCCGTCTTTTTACACCGTATGCCTCCACGTTTCGACATTTTCCTCTCACCGACTGTTCTTCTTCCCAAATCTGCAAAAATTTTCATCTCCGACGGTATCCGCAGCGAAAATATGTGCAACCTGAAATACTGCCTTCGCCGCAATGAATCTCCGTCAATGATACCCATTTGACCGATGCGATTTCATCTGACAGTCAACTCCTTCGATTTCAACCATACTGTCTTGATTAATCCGAAGATTTGATAGTTTGGAGGGGGAATCATACTGGATTCGGCACATCTGCGGGAGTTGAAAAGAGGCAACCGGTTGGCACAGTGGCGGACCCAGGGTGGTTTAGGGGTGTCCCCGAACACCCCTAAATTTTGGAAAAACGATTATCCAACCCCGGTGGTAATTTACGTATGAACAAAAAAAATATAATTGATAGTGAGGGACACCCCTTAAATTTGAAAAAATGATTATCATACTGTCATTTGTGTATAGGAATATAAGTGGTGGGTTGGATAATTCAAATCTAGAACACTATTATTATTAATAAACTTAATTTCCGTTGAGCTAAATTCATTTGTTGTTCGATTTTGAACAATGTGTAATAGTAAAATGGCATTCCCTATCTCTAATTATTTTAAAATCACTTGGCTGTCGATTTGGACAGGAGGAGGGATGGGTGGCGATCCTCGGTTAGCTGGATGGATAAGCCGAGTTGGATTAGAGTTTGGGAGGCGAAGATTCCTCCGAAGTTGAAGGTTTTTGTTTGGCAAATTCTTAATCGGGCTTTGCCGACTACAGAGGCGCTGATTGAGAAAAAGGTCCAAGTGCTACCTCGGTGTCCAGTTTGTTGGGATGGCCCGGAGACAATGGAACACCTTTTCCTTTACTGTCCGGTTGCGCGGGCCCTCCGGGATTATTCTGGTCTGGAATACTTGGGGGAGGGTTTGCCTCGGCACACTTTTCCTTTGTTTCTCAAGCGTCTGTTGGGTTTGATCCATCAACCGTCTGTGGTTATGGCTGTTGTTGCCATCCTTTGGAGGATCTGGCGATCTCGGAATTGGGTATTCTTTGAAGGCAAACAATTTGGGATCCCGACGCTCATGCGACAGTTTAACCAACAGTATGAGGAATGGGTGGGCCTACCAGCGGACCAGACGCCTATGGCTCAATTACCGATAACGCAATCTACAGTTCAAGTGAATGATTCCCATTTGGTTTGCGCGTGAGACGGAGCTACTAAGAGTGGGTCACATTCGGCTGGTGGGATGGTTCTGTTTGACCCAGCGCGGACACTCCTTATGGCTAGAGGGGTTCAGTTTTCTCAATTAGATGATCCTGTAGTGGTGGAATTACTTGTGCTTCGGGAAGCTATTATTTGGTGTGTGAGCACGGTTTGTCGGAGGTCCGATTTGAGGGCGATGCAAAGGTGATTATTGACAAAATTAATCAAGCCGACACAAGGGATAGCCGGTTGGGTGCTGTTATGGAAGAGATTGCTCATTATTTTCATACTCAGCCGGGCTTTAGTGTGCGTTTTATAGGTCGGGAGAACAATAGGGTAGCTCATTTGATAGCTAGGAAAGCCCTCTCTTTGTATCCGACTATGAGTCGCTTCTTTAATTTCCAGACCTGGCTGGTTTCCAGGGTGTAACTGCCTATTTTTTCGATCAATACATGATATCTTTTGACAAAAAAAAAACTAGTCCTATGGTGCGCCACATTAACAGTGAGTTACGGGGAAAATTAAACCGTTTTTGTATGTTATTCTTATTTAATCCAAATAATTATTAGATCACCCACTTAACAGTTAACAAGAATCCATATGATAGTCTGGTCAGAAGGTAAACCTTGAAAAATCTGAGTTGAGTTTCAGCCCAAACCTTAAACAGGAGCAATACCAAGCACTGGCTAGGACTATGGGTATGAAGCAAGTGAAACATCATGAAAAATACCTAGGGTTGCCCACGGTTATTGGAAAGGAAAAGAAATCAGTCTTTGCAGGTCTAGTTGACATGGTCAGGAAGAAGGTTAAGCAATGGAAGAACCAGACCCTGTCAATTGCTGCAAAGGAGGTTCTAATTAAAGCAGTGGCCCAATCACAGGTTACTTACTCTATGTCTGTGTTCGGGGTGCCAGATGGGATCGTAGATGAGATTAGAAGGGTAATATCGAGGTTCTGGTGGGGTCAGCGCAAAGAAGAATGGAGGATACCCTGGAGAAGCTGGAAGAAGTTATGTAAGCCAAAGGATGAGGGTGGCATGGGGTTTAAAGACCTAAAAAATTTTAATTAGGCTATGTTAGGGAAGCAGCTTTGGAACTTAATGACCATGCCAGATTCACTAGCAGCAAGGGTCCTCAAGGCCAAACATTATCCCAATGGAGAAGTGATGCAAGATCAACTAGGAAATAATCC